TATTTATTGTTTACACAAATAAAAATATTGTTTGCCAAACATTCGAGAATTTTTTTAGCTGACTTTTTTGTTAATATTAAAAATTAAAAATAGAAACTAGAAAATAATTGATATAATATTAAATATAATAGTCGCATATGTTTTGTGCCTTGGGCCTTAACAGAGAATAAAATAATAATGCTATTGTGCATATATTAATTTTTAAAAAATCCATATAATGTGTCTTGGACTCTTGATTAATATCAATAAAATCTTATGATATATATGCATTCCACTATATTAATTGTAATGTACTTCTTCATATATATATACCATTAAAATATACATTTCTTATGTATTTTAACATTGTTTGTGGCTCTTTTGACATTAATGTATATTAGTGTATTCATATGCTTTGTATGCATTTCATTAGTGTATCCAAGCATTTCCATATCTTTTGTCCGTATCCATGCGTTCCCAAAGTGTATCCATATTTGAGTTGTCTAATACGACACCCAACATTGATAATTTGATCCTTGATTATAATTTAGCTTTTCAATCTAAACATCATTGCAAAACTTGTCAAATTTAATTAAACATTTAACATGGACAAACTTTTCATAGTGTAATTAGTTGAGATACACCATTTACATATTTTGAATTCATGCTGTCAAATATACTCCGAAAAGTGTCCATTCAGTACCAAATGCCATACAGGTACACTAACCATGTAATTATACTTGGAACTTTGGGTATCATAGATAAACTATGTAACAAAAGTAAGGGCCAAATGAGCACTTAATAAACAATGGAGAGAGCGAGAGTGAGAGCGAGAGCTCTGATCCCTGTCCCTGAGCCTATAAAACATTAAACCCTATTTAGTTCCTCATTTCTTCTTAATTATACTACACTACTATAAGACCACACCTCCCTCTTAACTGAGCCTTTGTGATAAATCTTTCAGCCTTTAATCCCTTCAACTATAGCCCAATTAACCAAACCTTACAACTACCACTTATTTTAGCTCTCCTTACATCATTGCACACCCCTGAGATATGAACATTCATGCAAACACACACACACACACACAAAGAAAAAGGAAAAAAGTAAGTATCCTAATCTTATTGTCAGTCTTCTTTCCCATTAGTTACTTCCCAATTATCAAAAAATTGTTGTTCTTACTCTCATATACCCCTAATCCCCTAATCCTAAAAGGTTAAAACCAAAACCAAGCAACCCTTTTTCTTTCTTATTGAAACTCTAAAATTCTGTATATAATTTGTGATCAACTAGGGTGAGCATCCTCTAAATAAAGCAAAACCCTATACAATCTACTTTATTGTAAGCTCCTCTCCAAAATAAAATAAATAAGTAAAACAAAACCATAAAAGTGCCCAACTCATGGTACCACTTATCATATCCCATATGGATCATAGATTCAAAAATTATTCAAACATACAAGTCATTGGGGAGTCTTCAAATGAGCATTTGCAAATGATCAGTAAACTAATCCCTAACGTGGCATAAAACATGAATGCAATCTTATCTTTTTTAACATGGAAGCATATTTTATACTAATATGTCAACAGATTGATTTTTCCTATGTGCTCCCCTTCAAATTGCAGTTATATATCTTGCACCTTAACAGTTGATCAATATGGATCTTTCATTGCATGTCCACCCGTGAATTTACTTGAGAGGTCTCCAAACCTAGCATCTATAGAATTACACCCACCTCATTCCATGCAATGAAGCAAAGTAGTCAACTGTAACTGTGCAAAAACTGGAGTACAACTCACCAGATTCTGGACTTACAGTGTCCTCAGTGGGGCAGATAATTCAATCTAGATCACCCTTCTATGAGGGTTTTAGTTAAGATGATAGAAGTCAATAAAAGTGCAATTCCAAGTCTCTAATTTGTCAGTGTAAAATTTTAGATCAGGATTGGATGATCACCACCCATTCCAAACATAACCAAGGAACTTATTCTCTTGATTAACCAACAGAAAGCACAAAATTTAAGCTAGAAGACCCAAACTACTACTGCTACCATATATCTATCTATTATAACTTCATCCCGTCCTCTTAATTTTAGATCCAGATTGGATGATCACCACCCATTCCAAACATAACCAAGTAACTTTCATTAAGAAAAATTAAATACAGAAAGAGGGAGATAAAATCTCTTAACTCCCCCACCCACAGACAAACAGAAGAACAAAAGAAACCATGATTACAAGTAAGCCCAAAACATAGAGTCCCTAGTCACCCCTTGTTTGGCTAACCCATAAGCAAAAGAGTTGGCACTTCTTTTTACCCAAGTCAATTGCACCTCAACATCCTTCTTTTTACCCGTCTTTTGAACTAACAAGAACGAGGTCACTTGCTAACAACTCTAGTAGCAACTACAGCCTATAGGATGAGACAAATATCATGGATAAAAAGTGTTTGTGGCAGCATGTACGATGGTTGTGATATAGGACCAGCTCAGTTCTACTCCTCATAGAATGTTGATTGGTCTTCTTTGATCAGAATTTTATGGTTGTTGATGGCTGTAAAGGAATCTTGAAGGAATAAGAGAGAAAATAGGGATAGAAAGAAAGAGAAAATACCTGGAATCACTCACAATAGTTAGCACAAGCTGAAGAAAACTCATAAACTTCATTGCTCTTTGTGTAAAACGATCATACATATTTATAGACTCTAAACTCACAATAATCCTAGGAGTCAAACCATTAGACTCATAATAGTCCTAGGAGTCAAACTGTTAGACTCAATAATCATAGTAGGACTCAAACTAAGCTGTCATATCCTATTTCAATTCAATGAAGACTCAATAACTCCAATCCTACTTATGCAATGACTCTGAAATTTTAAACATAAACAAACTATAAATAAACAATCAAACCCCATTATTGGACCCCACAGGAAATTGCAAAATGACAAAAATACCCCTACTATCCAAAAATACAGAAATACATAAAATTTCATAAAATTCCAATTTTGACTCTTCAGCTCCTGTATCAGGTTGGCACACAGTTGAAGCCCCATAACAATGCCATGATTTCCATTCCTCGTGTTATTTGTCACAACTTATAAAGCTCTCCTCATAACCTAACACTTATGGAGTTCAAATCTGTGCCCCACCACCTCTCGCCCCACAAACGCCCCACAAACCGAGTGTCCGCCACCTGTCCATTTGCATGTGGTCAGCATTCCCACGTGTGGGGCTAACGGGACGGCCATTAGCCCCAAAACTAGCCCCGTTAGCCCCAAAACTAGCCCAAAACCATCATTTCGACATTCCCACCCCTTCAACCAATCCATCGTACTTGAACTGGTCATCCCCTGATCCTCATTCTTCTCCCCTCCACCCGAGCTCTCCTTTTCCAGCACCGGCTACTGCTCAGGTGAGTTCACCTTGACCAGGTATTCTCCAACACTCATATTTTGTTTTGCTATTTAGAAAAGGTGGAATTATCAAAGGCAGGAACAGTTTTTTTTCATCAAAAAGCTGTTGATGATGAAAAAGAAGAAGACTATGGGAGTGACTGGGATGATAAACAAACCTCTGAAATGTTTCCATGCCAAGAAGAGGAAGGGAATATTGATCTCAAGGCTGAGAAGCTTATAGCTAACTTCTATGAACAAATTAAGTTGCAGAGACAGATTTCATATCTACAATACAATGAGATGCTAACAAGAGGCACAAGTTAATGAAAAAGAATACTGATGATAGTGATATATAGATACACAAGTGTCTATAAGTTCCCTGTATTTTTTCAGATTTTGCTGCCTTCTTTTGTTCTTTTTCCATATAAGAGTTCTTGCGGCGTTGTTGTAAATACAGTGTAGAGGCTCAGCTTTCAAGTATCAACCAGCCGGAACTGAGTGTTTACAGTGCCAGAATAAGTGTTGTATTCACAATATGAATGGATTGACAGAAAAGAATCACAGAATCGCTGTCTGTTCGTGAGATGTTAAAGGTCAATATATAATATATGCTTTGTGATTGTTGATTTTGAGGTACAGAGCTTATGGACATGACATACCAAATGCCTGAAAGCGACTCCGGATCAGATCCAAGTTAGTTTCATACAACCATCCCACAACCAGATCAACTTAACCAACCAGGAGATCTTCCTGTTGTAAACCCACTTTGGATCTCAGACCTCTCACCCTTCAACTTCAATTCATCATATTCATCGGTTCCTTGCACTTCAAACCCACTATAGTATCGGCCCACACAGATACAAGCCATTTGTTATTTGCAAGGTTTAAGTGCTTCAAGCACCTGAACGGCTGAACCTGAACGACAAGGGTATCTGAAATGAGAAAACAAAATATCAGAGAACAGAGGTAATACCTGGGCAAGGTGAACTCACCGGAGTGGTCGCTGGTGCCGGAGAAGGAGAGCTCGGGTGGAGGGGAGAAGAACGGGGTCAGGGGACGGCCAGTTCAAGCACAAGGGATCAGTTGAGGGGTCAGGGCTAGTTTTGGGGCTAACGGCCATCCCATTAGCCCCGCACGCGAAAATGCTGACCGCGTGCGAATGGACAGGTGGCGGACGCTCGGTGTGTGGGGCGTTTGTGAGGCGCGAGGTGGTGGGCGCAGATTTGTGTGTTCAGACATAACAGTTTTCTCACCCTTTAAAAAGTATGGTAGGTAGGTCATGTTAAGACACACAGATGTTAAGACGCACAGATTGGAATTTGTTCAATTCCATTGCTTCCTTTATTATTCTACAAGTTTGATTTTGATGCTTTGCAATATAGCTTATGACTATCCTTTTGTTTGACATTTTGTTTTTAGTGTACATCAAAAAAGGCCCTCAGAGAACCGAAGATGACTATGTGCCCACACACATCTATAAAGACGAGCAGAAGGATCTACTTAATTCAGCAGGCATTGTTTTTTTTTCCTGTAAATAATTCAGCATATATTGAATGGCACAGGATTCCATTTTGGTTTAGGTTTCAATTTACTAACCATGTACTGAGAGAAGAGAACTAAGGGCATACCATTTAATGAGCCATCCAAACAGGAAATGCTGCATGACGGGGACCTTCTCAAGCACCTCCGCCTTATACATCTTAAGCATACCGCTGTTCACCTTGTTCCACGTGGGTACGCCGCTGATATCATCCAGCAACGGCGAGTGCTCAGCGAAAAGCCCTTTCTTAACCTTCTTTACAAAGGATATGCACGAAAGGTAGAGATACTCGTTCGAAAAATTATCTAGTATATCCTGGTTATGAATGGACTTGGGCTTCATATACTTGTGGTCGATCAACTGAGATGAGCCGAAGATAAACGGCAAGAAATGGTAGTCGTCGAGACCCCAGACGCCGTGTGAACCCGCCGGTTCGAGACAGTAAACCGTCTGCAACTTCCTCATCAACTCGAGATACTTCACGAATATCCGAGAAACAACAGCCTGGTAATCCTCTTCCTTGAGAAGCCCCAGCCTAGCCAAGCAATAGAGCCAAGCAGCGAAGTTGGTCTCGTGGCCCGTACCGTAGTCAATGCGGGTCGAATTACCGAAACTATCGGTGAAGTAGGGAACAATCTCGAGGGTGGCAGATCGGAGATCGTTGGGGATGAACTGAAGCATCAAGGATTCAGCATTTTCCGTCATACGTCCGTGCCAAACCCTATAAGAGTAGTTACCATATCGGGAGGACTGCTGGACCGGGGGAATCTCGTCCACCCAACGGAGGAGGGTTTCGAGGAGGGAGACGATGGAATTTACAGTTGGAGATTGGTGGCAATGATCGGAAATTTTGTGGCCGCGGATGGACTCACTAAGGGCAACGATGAAGCCCAGGAAGTTCTTGCTGGAATCAGACTCGTGGAAGCGGTGAATGTCATCCGGGTGGGTTATCTTCTTGGTTGGAACTTGGAAGAGGTAAGGAGGAGAGAGGGAGAGGACTTTTTGAGATTGAGGGACGGGAGAGAGGATGATGGCTTTTTGGGAGTAGTTTGGAGGGAGGTTGATGGCGGGAGAGCGGACGGGGCGGTAGCTGGGAGGTGGGGAGACGTCGGACCATTTCGGCGGTGGAGCTAAGGCGGTGGGGCCACCGCAGTTGCAGCAGGTGGTGTTGGAGTGCGGTGAGAACTGAGCTTGGATGGGGATTGGAGTAGGGGTGGTGGTGGCGGTAGCTGATGGTAGGGTGTCCTGTGCCTGCGCCGGCATCTGTAATTGCTGCGATTCCATTTTCCTGTTACCAACAGTCAACAGCGAGAGTGGAATTTGCTTTTGTCCCGCACCGCAACCTGCAGCCTTCCCTCTCGGGCTCAATTTCAGCTTGGGCATTGAAGAAAGGGTAAATTTCTGAAACCGCCCCTATACTTTCTGACAGATTCGGTTCACTACCTATTTTTTCTGAATTTCTTTTGAACCTTTTGCATTTTATACCCCTTCGTTATATAGAATCGACAAAATTACTGGAATTTCCAACTTTGTCCGTTTGACTGATAAATTGACTTATAAATTTTCCCTTTCCTATGTTATTTTTGTCTATATAGTTTGTCAATATAAATATAAATATATATATATATAGATATATATATTATGGATTTTATGTATTTTTTATAATTTTTTATTTTTTTTGTTGAAATATGTAAAATGTTAGAAGGTATGAATAGTTTCTATTCGCTTGTATAAGAACATATGTGCTATAAATGGCTTTAAGAACATATGATGAAATCAAGAAACAAGAACGCTTGTAGAGCTGTCTCGTACAACTATCTTCTTCTTATACTCACCCTCAATCTCAAGTTGGAGCTGGGGAAGAAACTAAGGGCCTGTTCGTTTGCTCTGAAATCTGACATCTAAAAGTGTAATAATTATATTAAGAGGTATACTGTTATCAGTGAACTTTTCTTTCCTTTGAACTCTAAATGTAGATAATGTTGTTTTGAATTTTGAAAAATGTCAAATGTCCAATTTAACACCATATAAGAGAATTTTTATTTATCTATATAATTCAATAAATAAACAATATTAAAAAATATTATAATAAATATTACATAATATTAATTATTAATAGTAATTAATTAATAATAAATTAATGACTATTCATTAATTAATAATTAATAATTAATTATTTTTGTGATTAATTAACTATTATATAATTGATTAGTTAATTAATAATAGGCAATAATAATTAATTATTACTTAATTAAGAATTACTATTATTAATTAATTAATGAAATATTATTAATAATTAATACTTAATTTTAATAATTAATAATAATTCATAATCAATTAATAATTAATTCATTAATTAATAATTAATAATTAATAATTTTTATGATTGATTCATGCATATTATTAATAATTCATTAACTATTATTAATAATAATTGATTAATTAATTAATAATAGTAATTATTATTATTATGATTAATGAATAACTATTATTAATAATTAATTAACTACTAGTAATAATGATTGATTGATTGAATAATTATTACTTAATTATGAATTATTATTATTATTATTATTATTATTATTATTATTAATTAGTAATTAATAATTAATGAAATTGTATGATGATAATTAATATTGTAATTAATTTTTTTCTATTAAAATATTACTATGAATATTATAATATTAATCATTAATTTACAATGTTCGTAATATTATAATATTAGTATTATGAATATTATATTAATAGTATATCAATAATAATAATTTATTATTACTATTCATAATTTATAATACTATTTAATATAAATAATTCTTGGTTTCATTATAATATTATAATTGGTAAATAATATTCTAAATAATTAATATAAGTAATTATTAATAGCACTATAAGACGATAATGAATAATATAGTTAATGAACTATTATTATAATAGTATAATATGAATATTATAGCATATTATAATATTACATTATAATAATATTATGGGAAAATAAAAGATTGGTGGTGGGTCCCATGGGTCTTCATATGAGATGTTATAAGTTAATTGAGCATTAGAAGAGCAATATGGGTAAAATCCATTAAAATAATGACGTGATTCATTTGTACTTGAGCTATCATTAGGCTTCAGTGTTAAGAGCCACCAAACACCTCTTTAGTGCTGAAAGTGATTTGAAACCACTTCAGCGTTAAGAGATCAGAGGCACCGAATAGGGCCCAAGTCCAACTTGGATATGAATGTGTAAAATTGGTCTCGACTGAGAGCTTTGGTGAATAAGTGAGCTGGTTGAGTAAAGGTAGAGATGTGTTGTGTAGAAATAGTTTCAACTTGAAGGTATTCACGCACAAAATGACAGTCGACGTGCACTCATGAAAGACTAGATTGGCTAGCAATATGTAGAATAGCTTTGTTGTTGCAAAAGATAAGCATTGGTTTAGTATGATAGAGGCCAAGATCAGTGAATAGTTGTTTTAACTAGAGTAGTTCACTAGTTACAACTAAGGTTACAACTTGGGTCGGGTTGACCCGAATCCAACCCGAAGATGCTTGCGTTAGGGTTAGGGTTGAAATTTATGAACCCGACTTTACTTTGGGTTGGGTTAGGGTTAACCCCTCCAGCAACCCAACCCAACCCAAACCTGACTCTGTAGTACACATCATGTATAAATATATTATATATATGATATATCATATATTAATTTGTTTATATGCATGATAATTGTATAGCCCCCACTACTACTATCATTTATTTCTTTTAAGATAATCACTTCACTTAATCCTAATTAGAAATACTAAAACCTTAATAACATATTTTATTCTATATTCCTCTCTATTGTTTTACCACCCATATCTTGCTGCCCATAAAAGATCTATTATAAGTCATAACTCATAATAAACTATAGTCATTTCATACACTTTTTTTTCTGAATTTTGTACTTAAGGTTGTGTTTGGTTGCAATGCAAATGCAAATATGTACACTACATATCTACCCATTTTTTGGTTCATGAATGCAAACACGGTTTACATTTTAAACTATTTTTGCATTCATCTTGTTTGTTTGAAATCGGTGCAAAAGTGTGGACCCATCATTAAATGCTCCAACTATCTTATGCTCCAATGCATTAACTTTGGTCAAAAAGTTAATTATCAAAAGAACACAAAATTGTATCCAAAAAATAGGTACAATAATGCTCTCTTCTCATAGTACAAGTGTTAGAAAATACAGTTTTGCTCTGATAATCATTACTTTTTTACATTTCAAACAAACGCTCGCAAATGCAAACTGAGGTACATAAATACCCCGGTTCGGCGTTTGTATTGCAAACAAACGGAGCCTAAAGAACTAATGGTAGGTCAACAGCCATTGACCTATTGTGGGCCATCTTGTAAGTGGAACAACCAGTTCAATCAGAGTCACAAAACCTCTAATCATGAGGTCATTAGTGGGTGACAACAACAATCCATGGTGTAAGGTGCCCTTAAGATAACAAAGTATGTGCATATCAACATCCATATGGGCCTGAGTTGGCTTATTCATGAATTGACTTAACGTATGCACAATACAATGAATGTTTGGGCGTGTGATAGTTAAATTGATGAATCTTCCAACAAGTCGTTAATAGGAATCTGGATGTGCAAGTGTAAGTCAACTGTCTATTTCCAAGTGTTGTTGTTGAGTCATTGGATGTGGACTGGGTCTACAACCTATCATTCTAGCATCTTTAAGGATGTCAAAAATGTACTTGTGTTGATGCATGAATATGCCAGAATCTAACCTTGTGAACTCGATTCCAAGAAAATAATGTAGAGATCCTAGGTCTTTTATGTTGAAACATTTGCTAAGGTAAGCTTTCAGACTAGCAATGACTTGGATCATCACCAACAGTGAGAAGGTTGTTGACATATACAAGGATAGCAAGAAAACTATTAGACCTTGTTGAAGTGAAGAGTGTAGAGTCTATTGTTGATTGCCAAAAACCATTGTTTCTCAGTGCTTGGGCTAATTTCTCAAACCAATTGTGCGAGGCCTATTTCAGACCGTATAAGGACTTTTGTAGATGGCAACCCTATTATCACCAACTGGTAGGAGGCCTAGTGGTGGAAGCATATAAACTTCTTCATGTAAATCACTATGAAATAAGGTGTCATTGATGTCAATTTGTTGAACATCCCATTGTCAAATCGCAGCTATAGAGAGTAAGCACCATACAGTTGTGAGTTTGGTAACTAGGGCAAATGTTTCATTATAGTCAATACCTTCTTCTTGTGTGTAGCCTTTGGCTACTAACTAGGCTTTGTATTTGTTTATTGTTCCATCATGCTTCAACTTTAACTTAAATATCCATTTATAGCAAATGGGTTCTTTGTCAGCGGGTATAGGAGTCAAACCCAAGTGTTGTTGCGCTCAAGGGCAGAGAGATCTTCTTTCATGGCTTTTTGCCAATGTGGATGAACAACATTAGCATAATTCTTTGATTCAGCATGATCCAAGAGTGTAGAAGACAAAGTTGATCCTGGGTTTAAGATGGGTCGGGAAGTTTTAATGGTGGGGCATATGAAGTCACTTAAATGGGATAAAGGTTTAACTTCACACCTAGATCGAGTAGTCAGTGGATTGGTGGGTTCATTTGTGTTTGCTATGGGTTCGGTCATAGTATGACTTATGCCCGGTGCAGTCACAAAGTCATGGGCCGAAGAAGATGCAATTGGGTTTGTAGTAGTAACATGTTCACTGTCCATGATTGGTAAAGGGATAACTGGTGAATGATTAGGTGTTGTAGGGACCAAGAAGTTGAAAGGGAACTGGTCTTCACAGAATATCACATCTCGGAAGATGAATATGGATTTTGTCTTCAGGTTGTAAAGGTGATATCCCTTTTGCCCATGGGAATATCCAATAAATATACAACGAACTGAGTGACGAGCCATTTTGTCATGGACTTTGCCAAGAACTTTGGCATAAGCTAGACATTCAAACACTTTTAAATGAGAATAAGTGGGTGGCTTACCATAGAGTCATTCATATGGAGAAAGACCTTGAAGTATTGGAATTGGTAAATGGTTGATTAGGTATGTTGTTGGTAGAACACATTTTCCTCATAATTTTATTGGAAGGCCTACTTGAAATCTTAGGGCTCGAGCCATTTCCAAGAGATGTCTATGTTTGTGCTTTACTACCCCAGTCTATTAGGGGGTGGCCACACAGGACGCTTGGTGATTAATTCCACGAGCATTATAGAAGATAGAAGAGGTTTAATTGGAAATTCTAGGCCATTATCAAATCTAATAGTCTGTACATGCACATTGAAATGTGTTGCTATCCAGTTATAAAGCCGAATAAAATATTTTGTTGTTGTAGAGTTCTGTTTCATGAGAAAAACCCACATACAACATGTATAATC